TTTTTTTGTGAGTATGGAGATTTTTCCATTCCTCTACTGTATAACTTCTATTACAAAAAAAACAGACCGTTTTGTATTTAGCGATGTTATATTTCCTCCTGGTTGTTGTACTTCTTCTAATAAACTGTTTTGTGAAAACAGAAGGACATGTAGGACTGCTTTAATCCATAGCAAATACCCCTTTTCATTTTCAGACTGGTTTTCAAGTTGGTCACTAATGGTAATAACATTTTTTTTTTAGTTACTATGCATCTTTTTTTAATCTCTTGTCAAACAAAAAACACACAAACACACCTTTCCTGGTCTGAGATGTATTTTTGCATAAACGCATCATCTAGTGCAGTGTTTCCCAATCTTTTTTGACTTGTGCACCCCTTTGGGCATTTTGTCTTACCATGAGTACCCCTCTCAGTCAAAAGTATTGATGATTGCCCAAAAGGGGAACGTCCAATAACTCAGTGTTTTTCAACCCTGGTCCTCAAGACACTCTGCTCTCTATGTTTTGGATGTTTCTGAGCTTCAGCACACCTGATTCAGATGATTGCAGTTCAGCAAAGCCTGATAATCTGCTATCAATTGTTAACAGGTGTGTGAAAGCTGGGAAACATCTAAAACATGCAGGGCAGTGATCCTTGAGGACCAGGATTGAAAACCACTGCGAATAACTGATTATAAAATAAAAACTATTTTACTTAATCTTTTTAACTTGAGCATCCAATTCTTGGATATTTATGCTTTCCATCTCAAATAAATATAAAATAAATATGATGCCTAGAAATTAGTAAGGAATCAAAATAAATACAAAATCAAATCATATTATAAACCTGTATTTAAAAAACTGGAGCTCCTCTGAGTAACTCCCCTGTACTCATTTAAACTGGATGAATTGGGAACAAAATATAGAATGAAACTGATAGTCAGACTGATTTAATTAGTTTTGTTATCATTAAAGGAATAGTACACCCAAAACATGATTAGCCTTCATTTTCTACTCACCCCCATGCTGAACAACACCCTGGAGTACTTTTTTGATATCTCAAATGCATCTGGAGATCTGGGAGGCTTCTTGCTGTCTGCTGACATTCAAATAATGGAGGTCTATGGTGACCGAGACAGAAAGGTCCATAAAAGTCCACAAAAACGTGTCAATATTCCTCCATACTGCTCGTCCAATGTATTCCAAGTGTCCTGAGTGGGTAGCATCCAGAATTTACTCGAAACGAAGTCATTTAGAACGTTTTAGAGCCTAAACAGTAGTGTATAGGATTTCCTAATAGCGCCCCCATGCGCGATCACGATTCTACGGAAGCCGGCAGACCAAACCGGAAGAAAGTGCGCATTCAGCGTCTGCTCTGCCGATAATGCAAGCGTAGAAGAAGAAATGTGCTGTTTACCTGTGCAAAGAAAGAAACAACGAAAGAAAAATGTCTGAGGACTTCAGTGTTGAGGAAGAGCATGAGTTCTTTGCCGAGCTGAATGCGCTGGTTTGGTCTGCCGGCTTCCGTAGAATCGTGAGCGCGCATGGGGGCGCTATTAGGAAATCCTATACACTACTGTTTAGGCTCTAAAACGTTCTAAATGACTTCGTTTCGAGTAAATTCTGGATGCTACCCACTCAGGACACTTGGAATACATTGGACGAGCAGTATGGAGGAATATTGACACGTTTTTTGTGGACTTTTATGGACCTTTCTGCCTCGGCGCCATAGACTTCCATTATTTGAATGTCAGCAGACAGCAAGAAGCCTCCCAGATCTCCAGATGCATTTGAGAGGAAAAAAGTACTCCAGAGTTTTGTTCAGCATGGGGGTGAGTGGAAAATGAAGGCTAATCATGTTTTGGGTGTACTATTCCTTTAAGGCACCTGACTCGGGTTGGTGACATAATATTGGACCATGCAAAACACAGATTTGCCTTCACTTTGCCTCAGAAGGGCTAGATTTATCCTCAAAAAAGTGAACCTTTACATGAAATTTTGTCTTTATAATGTTTTTTGTTGTTGGCATTCATATAAATATACCGGTGTGATAAATTAGTAAATGTTTGATTGGTTTTTGGTATAAGTCTACTTGAAATTTACAGTCCCCCTGGACATAACTTCACCAGCCGCCACTGCACTTGAGCTGCTTTAATGAACTCTGATAGCTCAGTGTGAAAAACAGCTGATACAATGCGGTTCTCTATGCTGTTCCTCTGCTTGGTTTGGATGTGTGTCAAAGCTGAAAGAAACTCAAAGAAAATTTTGCTTTTTAGTTAATAAAAGCATGTTTAATTTTTTAATTGGGTCCTCACAAAACAAAATAGATCCCAGTCCTATTCTATTTTGCTACCTAAGAAATAAAATATTAATATACCCCTTGCAATGCACTCACGGACCACTAGGAGTATGCACACCCTGGTTGGATATCACTGATCTAGAGGCATGCATTAGAGCTTAGAAATCAGCAAACCCTGTGCAGACGGGTTCAGAAGTTATGTATTTTAATATTTTTTTAGTCCACAATTGCTTTCTCAGACATTTCTGTAATGTTGGATCTGTTACTGTGTATTTGTGACACTTCTAATGACTTTTGAAGCATTTATTGGTTGGAAGAAACACTGTTCAGATGCTTTAAATTCTTTAGAAAGAAAGAAAAAAACAACAGAATCCACAATCTTTTATTTGACATACTGTAAGTTTATTTTCTTTTCATGATCAAATGACTTTTTTTTATACCACCAGAGTAAAATCATACACCATTTACTGTACATAATAATGAGAGCTCTGAAACCAATCATGACAGAACCTTTGGGTCCTAGACACATAAAAGCAGACTTTACAGCAAGTATCAACCATTTGGAAATAGAAATTTCAAAGAGAACACAACTGAGTACAAGAATAGCATATTTGTTAAGGATCTTTTCATAACCCACAGTAACAAAAATGGTGTAAGTGGTTGTTCTTTGCAACCACTTATAGCATTTTGTTAACGGTTGTAAAATAGAAAATCTACTACTTTACATTAGACGACAAAAGATTCCACCCTTAAAGTGTCATGTACAATATTTTAAGTAAAAATGCCAACAGTGTGTGATATACTGACTTACTGCCAGTTAAATATGGAATGTACAGAAATTCTTTATGGAGCATAAAGATTTTGAAACATGTCCAAAAAAAGATATGTTTTAAAACAAAAGGTGGATTTGCACTCTTTGTTGGCAGTAAGGTGATTGTAGCTCATATGCTGTTAATAATTAAGAAACTTTGATGGACATAAGCAGATTCTTGCTTGGCTCAATATATACTTACAGAGGGACCAAAACTGAAACTTTATCCAGCATTTAGCACTTTGGAATTTAACATCTCAAAAATATTCTGCAATCCCCTGTGTTTACCAGTTCTGAACATATGCCTTAGGGAAATAAAATTTAGAGAAATACTTTCAGTGAATGTGAGAACATTAAAAAATAAATAGTAGTTCAAGTTCAAGCCATTTTGTTGCTAAACCTTAACACTGAACTTTGTCTTCAAAGGCACAATAAAGTATGTACAGTTTTTTTATCTCTCCATTACGTAATTCAAAGTAAAGTGCACCATCATCCTGTACATTCACATTTAACTGTGTGATATAATATGGTAGACAGCACAGCGTAACATGCCTTTGCCCTTTTGGAGTCTGATTCTTAATGGATTCTTTTGGAACCAAGCGATTTTCTAGCGATGATGATTCATGTTTGCAGCAACGAACAGCCAGTACTGATAAAATTGTTACAAATTACTGTAATAAAAGAAATTAGCATGCATGAATTATGGAAAAAGAAAAATTATGTAATGATCATGTTTTGTTTTGTGTTTTTTTTTTTTTTTACAGGATATAATTCATGCATGATATTTATGTTTGAGGATGTGCTGTAGACTTCAAACAAGCTATCCGTTGAGCTGCTCAGACATAGTCCAGTGTTAGCTACAATTTACAGGGAAGGAAATGTTAAAATCATATCGCTACTAAATAAAAAAAAAAAAAAGGGTATAGGTTTAAAATGCAATTGCAGAATACTAAATTATATTTCTTTATATAATTCCTTTGACCTTTTTTTTCTTTTTTGTGCTTTTCTTTTACGGATCATGACCATTTACCCCCTTTTTGCCCTTAGGCAATCATAAACACCTAGAAAAAGAAGCACACATGTATTTTGAAGTATGCAGAAGTTCAAAGGTACTGGGTGATTTTAAGAGATCAAACTGACCCAAGGGATACACAAGCAACCCTTAAGGAAAGATGAACCAGCTTTTGTCTAAACCTCTGAGTTGAGTCTATTCACAGGCAAGTTTACTGTCAAAGCTGGAGAGGGCAATGGCAAAGGCTTGCAGCGCACACATTGGGTAGTTATAGTCCATGGTGAAGACATCCTCTGCCACACGGCCAAACTGCATCACAATGTAGTCAGCTGTCAAAAAAGGAAACATTTACTCAATCTGCACCAACTTACAAAAACTACAAAAACTGTAGAAGTTTATGTTTATAAACCGGAAAATAGTGAGATTTAATACAAATTACTAAACAGTGGCATAACCGGCCAGGTTTTCACTCTGGTTTCCATGTGTCAATCAAGACAGTGAGTAAAAGAAAGCATATCAGACCAATCAGACAACATTACCAACACCTGGGTTTATCAGGTTATGTTGAGCAGTTGCTTGACATATGGCTTGCAGATATCACAGGTGCGTAGGTATGTCATAGGTATGTAAAGACACCCACACAAAGCTTGTGTCATCCCACAATATGTTGTAAAAATTAAGTTCCATGTGGTTGGAAACTATAAAAGAGGAAAACCTGTCATGTGTACACCTCAAACTCTGTTAAGTGCTTATAATGCTGTCTTATGTAAAAGGAAGCCTCTTTGCCTAGTGACCTTTTTTCTTCTGTCAACAGGACTGTTGCTCCCGCAAGGCCACTAAATAAATATGGCATTTAATGTGCAATGCATGAAGGCTCCTTGCAAAACTCATTAAGTTGAGAATTTAGTCTAGATAAAAACAAATTAAATGACTACACAGCCATTAGAATGACCTTTTAGTAGCTACTAAAAACCTTAAGTAGTTTGTTTTTGCAGGATCTGTCTCTCGCATTCTTTCTGACATTGATGCTTGCAGACAGTTATTTTTGGACACAGCTGTCCAACTAAAGCATTTCAGCTGTGTCTGAAATTTTGACCTTTTTGCATCTGAAATCTTTAGACCATTATACATACTTTAATTATTCTCTTGTGTACCCTTTTCTTTTGCTGCAGTTTTTTGAACCATTTTCCTGTTGTTGATGCAGTTTAGTCTACTGTATCATATAGCTGTCAAAGATGGCCTTACATTTAGCTCCTAAACTACTTTTATATAGAGCTGTGTTCCTAGTTGACTTGATTACAGCAAGGTATTGTGGTTCTGTGCCCCAGGCATATAGCCTTGCCAGCCAGACTGATAAAGCATGCATACATCGTATCAACCTAGTAAAGAGCTGGTTGAGCTCAATTACAAAGGTGGGACCAACACGGTCAGCATCATCAGGTTAAAACCAATCAGATAACTACAGATGTGACACAAAAGCTCAGAGCAACGCACTCTGTTTTTGTGGTTTCTGTTAAACATGTCGAGCTGTGGAAGAAACTCTCCAGTGAGCAATTTCAGACGGTTTATATCTGCGGATATAAAGTGTGCTCTCTATCAAGTTCTTAATTTTGCCTGCAACATTGCTCCATTGCGGTCGCAGCATGTCATGCTAGCAGAAAAGCCCTGCTGTAGTATGAGTAATTCTGGCGTTGGGAGTCGCGCATCATAAAGAAGCGCCTTCCGAAGTCTGATTGGTCCAGCCAGATCTGGCCACAGTCAATGGTGTTTTCCAGACTGAATTATGGTCTGTGCCATTCAGTCTGGCTGGCTGGGCTAGCGGCCATCAACCTGTCAGCACCATGCTCAACAGTTACCATGAACTGTTAAAACTGCATCTAATTTTATACAACATTTTTGTGGAATATCCTGTATCAATTTTTTCACTGTCATTCTTTTCTTTGCAGCAGCTTTTCTCTTGACATTGCATATTTTTGACTTGTCATTATTTTGGCAAAAACACCACCTCTTCTGATTAATTTAAAATAAAATTTAAGCCCTGTGGTGAAACTTACTTTGTAAAGAGGGAAAACAAAAAGAAGATCAAACTGTGAAATTCACAACATATTATTCTGAGTGCTTTACTGAAAACCATCTTTCCACTCTCTACTGTACCAAAATTGAAGGAACTTACGGTCGTTGTCGTGAATGATTTGAAAGTTTTTCACAGAAGCTTGTGTGACCCTGCCATGGAAGTTCAGAACATAGGACTGAGTGTCATCATTCCACACAGGTGTCTTGTTGTGAAGTTCAATCACAGTTTCTGTGTTCTTGTTCTGCCACCTTGCCAACAGAGATTCATGCTCCTGAAATGAAGAGCAATCAAACACCTTTGGAACTAGGCATCAAAGTTGTTTGATGAATTGCGAAATTATTAGAAGGACTTAAATAGCTTAGCTCATGTGTGGCAGTATATTAACTCTTACATTGCGCGGCCTAATGGAGACTCTCTCATGATCCATGTTCATTCCAGGAATAATGACGCTCATCTTGCGTGGTCCTTTGAATCCTAAAACATTGGTTTCCTGGATTGAAAAGATAATAAACTACATAAAATCTAGTAGGAGGACATTTCATCAAAAATGTGAGACACTGATCATGTTTGAAACTTTTTTTTTTTCAATCAATGTAGTAAATAAGATTTACAAAAAGCCACATTAAGATTAATCATCAAATAGAAAAGTATTGATTGTTTGAGTAAATAAAGCCAAACAAACACATATTTAAAAAATTTTTAGTGACATTAAATGAACATTTATTTAGGCTAAGAAGCTATGGATATGGATTGAATAAATAAATGCAATCCTCTTTTTAAATTTCACCTGTATTATAAATACCTATATTATAGCTTTTTTTGTAATATAAGCTTCTTTTAGTTGGATAAGAATGAATTAGATAAATAGTTGGTATTTTTAATTGTTCTTTTCTTTCTATGATCCCAGGTCCGTTACTTTCTGCAGTATTTTAAAAGTAACGTAAATAGAAATAAGGTTAACAATTGTAAACAATTTGAAGATATATTAATGATGTAATGATGACAGCCAAGCCATTATACTCACATAACAAATGGCAGCTAGCTCTTGGCGAAGATTGCTGGCGTCTAGGCTGGTAGTGCCCTTCATGGGGTTCAGTCCGTTGTCATAAACGGTAAACTTGGTACCCATGAGGTTTGACCTGCAAAAAAAGCATTAGGCAATAAAGTCAAAAAGAAGTTTCATGTTTTTAATCACTGTATATATTTATCAAAACCATAATAGCCTTTTAGGAGTCATTTTATAGAATGTAGAAGTGTGAAACATAAGATCGGACAGCAATTATTTAAAAATTATCTAAAAGAGCCTTAAAAAGGTAATTATTTCCTTAAACTTACATTTGACAACAAATTCTGTTTCATTCTTTTTTACTGACCAACTCATTTTACCTAATTTTAAAGTGCAAAATTAAGAAAATGTGGCTTTAAATATTGTTGTAGAATAAATTTAAAAAAATCAAAATTGTGAAGCCTGTATGTCTGTTCGACCTCCTTTACTGTGATACTTCCATAAAATTCTAACCACTCCCTTCAGAAGTCACCTATTAGTAGGGTCTACATTTTTTTGAAAGGCCTCAGCAGTTATTTAGATAACATTAGGGAACAAACATTGTCATATGGACCATTTCAGGGTCATTTTTTTTTTACCTTGGATCCTAGGAGGGTTAAAGAAGCGGCTCAAGAGAACCTTGTGGAAGCTGGCAGCATTGGAGATGCCAATCCTGTCAGCTTCCATAGTGCAGACTATAGCTGTATTTTTTCATCTTAATAGACCATATAAATTATCATAGTTTGAATGATACATTCTGCAGAGGGAGAATGATCGATGATGAAGTGGGATCACACCTTGATTTGAATGCCTGCACTTGAGGCACCACCTTTTTTGAGAATATGAAAGTACATATTCAAGGCTCATTAACAACCAAAGACAAATAAATACAAATAAAATAAGATGTTTAAAAGCATTCAATTTAAAAAAAACATTACTTAAATTCAAAGAGTCAAATATAATTTAAATATAAATAAATTTGCCTTATTTACCAGTCATTGCTACACATAAATACAATCAAAACATGCACACTATATATATTCAGATATATATATATATATATGAAAGAATGATCGCAAAAAGGAGGAATTTAACTTTGCGTTATTGTTTCTATATCTACAGCTTAAAAACTACTGCCTGTGTATCTCTCTAAAAGTCACTCATCATTAAGGCTAGTCCTCACAAGGACTCTTGAGAAGATAGATGAAAGGTGAGTGTTCATATAAGTTTAGATCTCAATCATTCAAGCAAGATTGAGACTGTAGAGGTTTGAGCAGCGGACAGACAAGCTCTGAAGATTAAAAGGCTCCGCAGAGCCATGTTTGATTACTCTGCAAAGGAGTTTCCATGGAGCTGCTGCATTGATGTTCTCTCTGATGTTGACATTATAACTCAGTTCAAATAAAGCAACAGATAAAACAATCATTTTTAATAAATAAAAAAGATCACCTAACATTTTAAAAAGTAAAACTGATGTGGAATCTGTCATAGTTTTTTTTTTTATTACCGGTATTTGATATTTTTGCTAATATGTAATAAATACACCCCAAAAACCTTTACTATTAAAAGTTTCTAAACATACAGTAAAAATAAGAAATAAAAAATGTTTATTGTAAAAATGTATATTAAATGTATATTAAAAAAAAAACAATCCTAATATTAGGACAGGAAATTAAGTAGGTAGATAAAACATTCTTCCATATATTTTCTTATCCCTCATTATCCTGATATGAGAAACTAAACAGTTTTGTTACATTTCTGCATTTATCAAGTAGACTTTTGTTTTGTATAAAAAAAAAATGAAAATACAGAAATTAACCAGATTTTCAAAGATACATATCAATCTTGGTTAGAACCCAAAACAAATCTGTTCACTATTAACTACGTACCAGGTGTTTCTATTTTATCAGAGTATATAGAGTACACTCTATAGTGCAAAATATCTAGAGAATTCACCTCAGTTTTCCAATGAAGCTCTCCCCACCACGAGACAGATCGGTGGGATCAATGGAGATGAGGTAATTGGAAGTTTTACTCTTTTTCCTTTTCCTTCCAGCTAACAGGAATACCTGTAGAATTTTAGGAAAGAAGAAGAAATACAGTCGAATAAGCATGACGGTTAAATCCAGTAATTAAGATAACATAAATGTTTTTAGAAAATGTATATTTCTTTTCATTGAGAACACTTGTTCTGCTGCTGCTCTTCTCCTCTCACCTTCTTCCCATCCTCCCTCTCCAGGTGAAGATAGTAGGTGGGATACATTCCTCTGTCCATGCCTTTTTTGTCCCTGGTGATTCTGCATTTCACTCTGACACCCTGTGGGGCGGGCCGCAGAGAAAACTCCTCCAGGTCCTCAACATCGATGGCAGGTTCATTTGTTGGCGGGGTGGGTGCTGAAGCCACCTCCTATTAGAGGAAACAGTATTATGTATTAAAATTTTTAAAAAAGATTAAAAAAAATCGGGTCAGGCAGTGTAATAAGCCTGGAGATCAAACTGCCCACAGGGACAGAAAATGAGCACACATTGCTTAAAATAAAGATCCAGTGAAGGAAAGGGGATTGAGCTGATTGAAAAGGAAGGTAAAATGAGGAGAGAGCAAAAAATTTCCTAATAGAAAGTTAAAGCCACAGACACTGTTATCGCATATAAACAGAGGCGTCATGTAACAAAGTACAAATACTTTGGTACCTCACTTAAGTAGAACATTTGGCTATCTATACTTTATTGGAGAAGTTATTTTTTTGACAACTTTTTACTTCTACTCCTTACATTTTTTTTTGCCATTTTCTCTACTTTCTACTCCTTATATTTAAAAAATAGACTTATTAGTTTTGTTTCATTTAAGCTCATTTTCATTATGGCCTGTTGGTATTTAAAAAAAGTTAAAACCATCAAAATAAGTTGTTTCATCCAGACAATTAATTTCTTTGTGGTTGGTACGTTTTTCAAGATGACGCAAAGCTAAATTTGACACTGTTACCATTAGTTATAAAATTAAGAAACTTAAGTATAAGGAAGTTATTATGCAGAATTGTAGGGAGATGTCAGTTTTATAGGGTAGCACAGTAATCAGTATAAAGTTTAAAGCATAGGTTCTTAATATTTTTTCCTGCTATGACTGGAGTCGTCGACTTAATTGTACAAATGTGAGTGTGCAGGTGCCTGTCTCTGATTGGTTCCTTGAAGACGACAGAGACGTCCAATTGGTGGCCTTCCGGAGGTGACGGATATAAAAGCTGCAGATGAGAATTTCCTGCTGACCATCCTCAGCTCATCTCAACCACCACACTGTTTGTCTGTTAACGCCACGTAAGAGTAGAGTTTGTAGTATTGAGCTGTCGTTTATATTTGCTTAGTTTTCTCATGTTCTTAATTAGGGAGGTAAAATTTTGTCATTTGATTAATTTACTTTTAATTAGGTACGTTTCGGTTAATGTTCAGATAGTTTCCTTTTGTTTGTTGTTTTCAGCATTATAGCTCACTGAAGCCATTTGCTCCATTAGTAACATATTAACCAAAAATACATCTTTTTGAAATAAATAACATTATAAAAAGTTCATCTTCGTGTGTGTTGGCTGCTTGGGATCTGAATAGGATGGAATCTTCATGCTATGATCCGGCCACCCTGAGACGTGTCATAACATTTACTTTTAAAAATTGTGCTTTTACACTTTTAGTTGAGCAAAAAGCTTAATTTGATACAAAAGTGTTTTTAAACACTAGGATTTATACTTTTACTTGAGTAATAAACATAACTTCCTTTGACAACTCTTTTGATTTACAAATGATGCCGTATTTACCTTGTGCCAAAGGAAGTAGGCATTCTTTGGGCCTGTAACTGTGATCAAACACTAATTATGTAACCACATTATTTAAGATGAACAGTTTTAATTTTTAACTGCAAATCAGATTTACACTTGTTATGTTATCTGTTTTGTAATGAGATTGCTTATTTAGTCAGCCTTTTTACTTAAAAAGGTCTTTATTCACAGATTCGTTCTAATTCATCAGTTGTTGTTTTTTATGTCAAATTAGATGTTTAATTAGAACTTAAGGGTTCTCTCTGGAATTGTTTTATAGCAGTAATCATATTCCACTAATACATATGAAAAGAAGTAAACAAAAGAATACATACAAGCCAGTTAATATCCCAAAGGAAGGTAAGGACCTTAAATGTCCGTATGGAGATGCTACATACATCATCCTGTGATAAAAAGTATCCTCATATATGTTGCATCTTTGCTGTGGAGCAGCATCACAGACAGAAAGGCCAAGCAGCTGGATAAGCTGGTGAAGATGACTGGATCGGTGATTGGAGTGAGCCTAGAGCCCCCAGGCACCGTTCTGGAGTGGCACATAATAAGCAAGCAGCTGGTCATCAGGGACAATGCCAACCACCCACTTTACCACATCCTGGTAGAGCAAAGCAGCAGCCACAGTGGATGGCTGATCTACATGTGATGCGGACCGAGAAGCACAGGAGGTTCTTCCCTCCAACAGCCATCAGCATGTATAACAACTCAGTCAATGGCAGAAGCTCCTGAGGTGGTTGTGTGTGCTGCCACTGATAGCTCACATGTACATTGTGGTCAAGACTGAGGGTCCTTTAATGCTTGGTTGCTGTTGTCGTTGTTAGGTATTTGTTGTTTGTCTGTGTGGTAAATGTCTCCAAGTGGGGAAGCTGATTGAACAAAGCACTTCAATCAGCTCCCTTTTTATGCAATTAATTTGTTACTTCGAAGGGCTGTATTTCTTCACTGGATTCACAAATCTGATTGCACTGGAGTGGGCTCCAAAATTTCAGTAGATGGGAGAAATTTACCTCTGTTATATGTGCTGTTTTAGCAACAACAATAAGATATAGGGAAGTGATAAAAGAGATATGGGAAACGCAATTCTTTATTAATTTTGCTGTTTTCATCATTGTTATACCTAAAAGAAAATACAACTTTCAGTAAACCATTTGTGACTGGTTGCAATTAAAAAAAATGCATTTGTAAAAATCACTGATGTAAAAGTGTATCAGATTATAAAATGATTACTTAGAGTCATATAGATTTTATTTTGATGAGAAGAGAAACACCTAAACATGATTTATTCCTATCTAATATCAGTTAATAAATAAAGAGAGCATCTCTGTTTACACTTTTTGTATTTTTCTACTGATAGGTGCTGGTTGTGTGCTTACTTGGCACCTTCTCCTCTTTTCTCAACCTTCACAGCACCAGCTGACTGGGACAGAGATCCTCGGTGCCCCTAACCAAAGTAGTGCAGTATGGACAGACCTTCTGTTATTTTTAATTCTGTCTAATACCTAATGAAAGTGGAGCATTTGCTAAGCAACAATTCTTAGGAGGAAATAAATTTGTAAATAGATCAACCATTTCATAAGGGCTCAGTTTTCCCTGTTGTGAATTTCCTGACTCGTTTCTACTTTGCTTTTTAAAAACCATGTGTGCAACAGGTCACGGCTCTCTCTTGTTCTTCATTGATGGTATTACCATCCTTTTCAGGTAGACAATGTTTATTTCCTGTCTGTTCTGCAAACAGAAAGGGAATCCAGAGTCCAGAGCTATTTCTTTGGTATTCTCTTTTTTTTTTTTTTTTTTTACATAAAAACACATAAACTTGAAGTGACTATCCCCTAATGCATGCTAAACACCTTGTTTACTGTAAATGGCAGA